AAAGGAAAGATCATTTTGTATTTATATATACAAAGCAGGATAGATATGGAACTACTTTCGCTTAATTCAATGAGAAGAAAGAGGTGTACTAATAGTGTTTGGACAGGATTTCCTGTCTGCTTCTTGTACTATGGATAACCACTAAGAAGATAATAATGTACAAAATGTACTGATTATCGAAACTGTCCTATTAATCAGCTTTGAAACTGTCTCATTCATATGTTTCTCAATAAAATTAAAAAATAAAATAAAATAAAAAATTATTTTTTAATCTTAAAAGTATTAAGGGCTGGCCAATAGCTCAGCAGATTAAAGTGCCTGCAAGCAGGTACAGAGGCTGGGGGTTCCATCCCTGGGCCTGCAGTGCTGGCCCTGTCCCTGGGACAGACTGAGATGGCTATTGGGACTGGGCATGGTGGCGCACACCTGCAATCCCAGCTCTTGGAAGGCTGTAAACAGGCAGATCACTACAAGTCCAATCTAGTAGTGAGACCCTGAACACCTGGTAGACCTTCCCCCCACAAAAAAAATCTTAAAAGCACTCCCAAAATGACTAATATGTTAACACAAAATTAGACAATTTTTTCCTCATGTCTTAAACTTTTAGAAATACATAAAACTGTATGAAACAAATACAGTATATTGTTAAGACTTTAAAACTATAAAACTGAAATACATGTGACACTAACAGCACAGACCATGAAAGAGGGACCAGAGCTATAGCGGAGTGTCTGTATTTCAACAGAATTCAGGGTAGTATAATCTACTCTCTCTCTCTTTTTTTTTTTTTGTATTTAGGATAGGGTCTACAGGGTCTACAGACAGAGTCTCACTGCGTAGATTAGACTTGTAGTGATCCTCCTGTTTTTAGCCGCCCAAGTGCTGGGATCACTGGCGTATACCACCATGCCCAATCTCAAGGTAGTATAATCTAATGTAGGTAGTTATAAAGCAATATGTATTATAATCCCAAGAGCAACCACTGGGCAGGTAATTAAAAATAGTTTAAAAGAGGAATTAAAATGGTGTCATAAAAACTATTTATGTAACACAGAAGGCAGTTAAAGAGAAATAGAATTCCAACCCCAAAAGTATTATGTGATGTAGTTAATTATTCAATATTTAAATTATATCAAAG